ACTGAATTATGTAAAAATATTCCATAAATATGCACGTAGAATTTAAATATATATGCATATTTATATAGTTTAAGTCTACGTGTATATTTATATAATTATTGATGTAATTTTGTATATGGACATATGTATATTTCGTATTATTTTTATTTATTTATATATACATAGATATATATACAAATTCATTCTAAGTGTATTTTGATATAAATATATATATATATTAATTTTAAAATACAGTTAGAATAAAATTTCATATAGATATATAATTTTTTTTTAAATTTTTATTATTATTTAAAAAAATTATTTAATTTAAATTACTTATTATTTATATTTTATAATAATATATATATACAATATATAGTTATTATATATATTATATATATACGTGTGTAATTTAATTATAAGTGTATTTTTATATTAATATAAGTACATATTAATATAAAAATACACTTAGTATGACATTATATATATATGATATATAGACATATTATATAGATATAATATATGTCTATATATCATATTTATACATATATAATTATTATTATTTTTTTATTACCATTAACTTTAATTTTTTTTCTGATTTTACAGTTGCAGGGAGACTGCCTGTCAGCACAGGCAGTCCCCCTGCAGGCAGCACTATGGACACCTATTGTGACCATGTGATCGCTGTGTTAAGCGATCACATGGCCACAGGGGTCCTAATCTGTCGTGGGGAGACTGTCTGGGCTGCAGGCAGTCTCCCCACAACCGGAGGAACACTGATCGCCGCCGGGGGAACGACGGCGATCAGGTAAGTACCCCCAGACCGTTTGGACGGTTCAGGACCGTCATCGGTCGGCAAGGCAAAAATGCCGATGACGGTCCTGAACCGTCCTCGGTCCTTAAGGGGTTAAAGGGACACTATAGGCACCCAGACCAGTTCAGCTCATTGAAGTGGTCTGAGTGCAGTGTCCCAGGTCCCTTAACCCTGCAATGGTAATTAGTGTAGTTTTTGTTAAACTGCAATAATTACCTTGCAGGGTTAACTCAACCTACAGTGGCTGTCTACCAAACTACCGGGTGGTGAGGAGACTTTTGGTCGCCTTACGGAGGCTGGACTCCTCACGCTATGCATGAGGACATCCAGCGTCACCCAAAACCCAATAGGAAAGCATTGTATAATGCTTTCCTATGGGGGAAGTCCCCTCACCGCGCATGCGCATTAGACCCCCTTGACGGCGAAGGAGCGGAGGCAGAGCCTGAACAAGCACTGGGGACTGGAGTTAGGCAAGTGACAGAAAGGGTTTTTAACCCCTGTTGCAACCTTTTTTCCTGCCACTATAGTTTCCCTTTAAGGAAGCAGTTTTAGTGTATAGATCATGCCCCTCCAGCGTGACAGCTCAATTCTCTGACATTTAGGCGTTAATTTTGTTTCTGTTTGCGCAACCATAAACACTTCCCCTGGCTATGACTGACTCAGCCTGCATGAAAAAAATGGTTTCATTTTAAATCAGATGTTAACTTGCTTTAGAAGTTTTTATATTTTGCTCTGTAAATCAAACTTTGAAGTGCCACTGTCTAGGGACTCTGCAAAATTTGCTAAGACCTGCGATGGTGATATCGCCACTGGGGGTCTGGTTGCCAGGATAGGGCAGGTAAAGGTGAGTTCTACTTACCAGAGCCTGTCCCTCGCTAGCACCCTCATCTTCGACCAACAGGTCCTCTTCAGCTCCTGGTGCTTAAGCGCCATGTCCTGACATCACTGCTGTATCTTGCGCATGTGCAAGAGTACACCATTGAAGTCTATGGCGGAGCCTGCAATACCATGGGACCCTCCACATATAGGGCCAATTTCCTGTAGCCATCACTGACGGCTGGGAGGATTAACACTTCTAGATGGCGGTAGCTTCGTCCAGTGTCAAACGGAGGAAATACACAGAGACAAAATAGTCCCTAAATACTATGGGTATTATGGGTACTATGGTTACTCCATCCATGCCACACTGTGTACACTGATTTCAGTTTGCCCCCTTTTATTATGACGGAATAATGCCTTATTGTCCACATGCCACATTTTCGTCAGTTTGCTGCTATTTTGCTATTAGACCCACATCATGCCACATTACTTACACATATTTTAAATTGCCTCCATTTTATTATGCCTACATTATGCCATACTGCCCACATCCCTGATATTGTTTAAGTTTGCCTCCTCTTTGTTATGCCCACCTGCCACATAGCCTACCTATATTTCAGTTTCCCTCCATGCTACATTACCTACATTGTGTAATACGTCCTGCACTCAGACTCCCACCAGTTCTGGGCAGCAGCAATAACCATAGTACACACAAGCCCCAATACATACAATAAAATAACAAGTCACATGCGTACTATTCCCAATCCCTATGCATATTTAATTAACTGGAGGTTTTGTATCACACAGTGAGCGTGACCAGAGTAAGGGGGTTTATGTGACAGGGTGATGGAGGCATGGTTGGGGGGATGATTGGGACAGGATTGGAGAGGTTGATATGGAAGGGCGAGTGTGGCAGGGTGAATGTAACAGAGTGATAATGGATAATTGTGACAGTGCGAGTGAAGGTGAGCGTTACAGGATAAGGGGGGTTTATGTGAGTGTGGTAGAGGGGTGACAGTGTGTGGGAAATAACAGTATGTAAGGGAGGGTGACAACGTTTATGGGTGGGTGACAATGTATGTGGGGGTAATCGTGTATGTGGGTGGGTGACCGAGTGGGGGGGTAACCGTGTATGTGGGTGGTTGACAGTGTGTGGGGTTGGGTGACAGTGTATGTGGGACTAGTTGACAATGTGTGGGTTTGGATGACAGTGTGTGGGGTTGGGTGACATTGTGTGGGTTTGGATAACAGTGTATGTGGGTGGGTGAAAGTGTGTGGGACTAGTTGACAGTGTGTGGTTCGGTGACAGTGTGTGGGTTGGATGACATTGTGTGGGGTTGGGTGACAGTGGGTGACAATGTGATCAGCCTCTCCACATTATACCTTTTTTTTTCTGCAGTAAACTATTCCCTGAAGGTCCAGTGGTCTCCCTCTCTGATGGTCCGGTGGTATAGCTATCTGGTCTGCAGCTGCACCAGGTGCTGATATTCAGACCACGTGGTTGTTGTTTCATGAGCTCCAGCACTGGAAGGGTCAGAACGTTGCCATGGTAGCCTGCGGCGATGCTATGTTTGGCAGGAGCTCGTTGACTGCTACTTCACAGACTGCAGCTCTTCTCCTGGTGGATCTGCAAACTGGAGGCTGTGCTGTGTTCTCTCTCACCTGGGCAGACTGAGTGGAAGGGCCCAGCAACCGGCAAAACACAGGGTAAACCACGGAGACCACTCTGCCATAAGGAGAGTTAGGCAGCTACCTAACTCGCCTAATTAGAAAGCCGCCTCTGGGTTGTGTACAGGGGTGGCAAATTGCCTCATCGGGACCGGCTCTGCCTATAGTGTCCCTTTAAATTTGGAAAAACAGCTGCTGGTGATAACCTTCATAACATGATATACCATGCAGAGTTTATGAACAGAACCTCCCCTCAATCATGTCTACAGAGCTGAAGGTGTTAAAGAATGACGGCAGATACAATTGGTTTGTAATAGAAACATTGTAGCGTAAACAAGACTTTACATGCAGGTTCTGTTATGGGGCGAGTGTGTCCCCCAGGCATAAGGAGAACATCAATTACTCACATTAAGAGGCGGGGTAGACATTATCGAAGGGTCAAGCAAGGTTAGTAAAGAAAGGTCCCAGCACACGGCAAACACCACTAGGAAAGATGCTCAACCATGAGTTTTGTAGAAATATGTATAAATGTTGACATTCTCAAAAACACCAGATTCTGCAATTTACATCTGTGATATGAGCAATTAGCTGGGTGTGGCGGTTATTTCCTTGGGAGAAGATTTGTCAAGAAATGTAATAACTTGGTTGCACATTTCAGAGAGAATAATGCCACTGGCACATTGATAGGCAAACAGCAAGCTCATTCACAGATTGAATACTATTGCTGATTATCATTTCTCTGTCCCCTTTGATTTTTAACATAAAGGCCAAGTACAACCACCCACCCTGCAGTGACACACGTGGCCTTCCATAGTTACTAGCACGCTGGCAACCTATTGTACAGTGCTGCATTATATGTTGGTGCCATATAAATAACGATTACAATATAGCTGTGTACAGCAAGTCCATCTATTTAAAATGGCAAACTTCAAAATGAGGAGGAAATGCATCTTCAGGTAAGCCTATTGTTTAAGCTCTACATTTTCTAACAATTGTATGGGCACAATGTGTATGTTAAAGGGACATTCTAATGCCCCAAAACTTAAAACATTATTTAGTATATATACCCTCAAATGAACACATTTAATGCAAGTCAGATGCTGCCCACTGAGCTAACCAAACCAGGAAGTAGCAGAATCTGTTTTCTGATTGACAGTCAGAGGGGTGTAACCAGGTTACTTTTTACAATATGAAAAGTACACACTTTTCACACATAAAGGATTAAATCAAACAAAAGTGCATTTTTTTTTTTTTTTCTTCAAATAGACACCTAAAGTGGAATAGGTTATCCCCAGATAGAATAAATACAATGGTGGAACATTCACTGCTGAATCACCTGTGTCACGGAGGGTGATGGGATTAGCAGTTGGTGGCTAGTATAACGCAAGCCGTGCAATAGTACAAACACATATTTCTATCACATATAGCCCAGTATGTACCATGTGAGCAGTGTCTGATAAAAGTACTATTTTTCTGTTGACCAGCAGGGGTCAGTGTAACCTAGTGTACTATATGGTGGCTGACTAAGTAATGTAATACTGCAATATAGCACAAACTCAGGGCAGGTACTGAAAGCACACACAAAGAACAGAACTAACATGACGTGCGCCATTAGACATTAAGATCTCTGCCATCATTAGATCAAGTGATTGTCAAAGACAAAAGGGATTACATTTCTCTTCCATGTTTATGCAGGATATCCGCTATCCCATGGCGTCTCCAATGGCACCCTGCCCATGCTCTCTCCATCTACCCATGAATGTAATTCCCATTGCTGCAACCCTTTCACTCATTTCATTCCTCACCGCTCACACTAACCTACCCAGTGACATCACATCGCTCGCACTAATCTACCCGGTGACTTCACACCGCTTGCACTAATCTACCCAGTGACTTCACACGGCTTGCACTAATCTACCCAGTGACTTCACACGGCTTGCACTAATCTACCCAGTGACTTTACATCGCTCGCACTAATATACCCAGTGACTTCACACGGCTTGCACTAACCTACCCAGTGACTTCACACCGCACGCACTAACCTACCCAGTGATTTCACACCGTCACACTAATCTACCCAGTGACTTCACACCGCTCGCACTAACGTACCCAGTGACTTTACATCGCTCGCACTAATATACCCAGTGACTTCACACGGCTTGCACTAATCTACCCAGTGACTTCACATCGCTCGCACTAATATACCCAGTGACTTCACACGGCTTGCACTAACCTACCCAGTGACTTCACACCGCACGCACTAACCTACCCAGTGATTTCACACCGTCACACTAATCTACCCAGTGACTTCACACCGCTCGCACTAACGTACCCAGTGACTTTACATCGCTCGCACTAATATACCCAGTGACTTCACACGGCTTGCACTAATCTACCCAGTGACTTCACACAACTCTTTATTTTATTTCCTGATTTTTTTGCTGCTGTCTGAAATCCTGTACTGCTATTGGATCAGCTACTGCATGTGGATACCACCTGGTGTGGAGACACGCTGGTTTTAATTTGCAACATTGTAAGTGCAACTTATTTTAAAAATAAATTGTTACATTTTGTACCATCTGCACTATCTTTCTCTTTACTTGGAGTGAATGAGAAGATCTACAACCATATCTATAGGATCATCGCTGGAGGTCCTCTATACTGCTGCAGTTCCCTATTCATTGTGGGAGATACGCTTGATTTCATCTTAATTTTGTGAGTTCTCTACCATTTTGCTTCTATTTAGATGTAACAATATTACACTATATACTTTTTATGTATTTTCAGATATATTTCTGAGACAGAATATTTCTACATACCCAGTTGGTATATATTTATTGTTTGTCACTTTGGTGATTCACATTGCTTTGTACCTTTGTTTTTTTTTTTCTTTTTTTCACTACTGTGTTTTAAGTGTTTGTAAGGGTACACTTTAAAACCTTGGGTACTCTTTACAGTATAGCACGAACAGTTAACTTTTTTTCATTTTCTATACTTCACACTGCTCGCACTAACCTACCAAGTGACTTCACACCGTTCACACTCTACCCAGTGACTTCACACCGCTCGCACTAACCTACCAAGTGACTTCACACCGCTCGCACTAACCTACCCAGTGACTTCACACAGCTCACACTAACCTACCAAGTGACTTCACACCACTTGCACTAATCTATCCAGTGACTTCACACTGCTCACACTAATCTACCCAGTGACTTTACACCACTTGCACTAATCTATCCAGTGACTTCACACTGCTCGCACTAATCTACCCAGTGACTTTACACCACTTGCACTAATCTATCCAGTGACTTCACACTGCTCGCACTAATCTACCCAGTGACTTCACACTGCTCGCACTAATCTACCCAGTGACTTTACACCACTTGCACTAATCTACCCAGTGACTTCACACTGCTCGCACTAATCTACCCAGTGACTTTACACCACTTGCACTAATCTGTCCAGTGACTTCACACCGCTCACACTAATCTACCCAGTGACTTCACACCGCTCGCACTAACCTACCAAGTGACTTCACACCGCTCGCACTAACCTACCCAGTGACTTCACACAGCTCACACTAACCTACCAAGTGACTTCACACCACTTGCACTAATCTATCCAGTGACTTCACACTGCTCACACTAATCTACCCAGTGACTTTACACCACTTGCACTAATCTATCCAGTGACTTCACACTGCTCACACTAATCTACCCAGTGACTTTACACCACTTGCACTAATCTATCCAGTGACTTCACACTGCTCGCACTAATCTACCCAGTGACTTTACACCACTTGCACTAATCTATCCAGTGACTTCACACTGCTCGCACTAATCTACCCAGTGACTTCACACTGCTCGCACTAATCTACCCAGTGACTTTACACCACTTGCACTAATCTACCCAGTGACTTTACACTGCTCGCACTAATCTACCCAGTGACTTTACACCACTTGCACTAATCTGTCCAGTGACTTCACACCGCTCACACTAACCTACCCAGTGACTTCACACCGCTCGCACTAACCTACCCAATGACTTCACACCGCACGCACTAACCTACCCAGTGACCACACCGCTCACACTAATCTACCCAGTGACTTCACACCACTCACACTAATCTACCCAGTGATTTCATATCCTCCACTGCTCGCACTAATCTACCCAGTGACCACACCGCTCGCACTAATCTACCCGGTGACTTCACACTGCTCACACCAATCTACCCAGTGATTTCATATCCTCCACTGCTCACACTAATCTACCCAGTGAATTAATACTGTACACTGCTCTCACTAACTTACCCTCTGATTTCACATCCCCCAATACTAGCACAAATTTACACAGTGATTTCACATCTCTCACTTCTCGCACTAATATATCCAGTGATTTCAAATCACTTACTGCTCACAGTGATTTGCATCACTCACTACTAATCTCTCCAGTGATTTCACATTGATCACTGCTTGCTTTATCCTACCCACTGACTTTACACCCCTCCCCACCAATAGTTTTTTTACACTGATTGTTAATGTAATCATTCATTTCACTCCTCCCATCCTTGTTGTTGTTCAGTCGTGTCCGACTCTCCATGACCATATGGACCATAGCACGCCAGGTACATCTGTCAGTCACTGCCCCTCTGAGCGCCAACAACTTCATGTTCGTGGCTTCAGTGACCTCATCTATCCATCTCCGTCTCTGTCGTCCCCTTCTTCATGTGCCTTTCATCTTTCCCAGCATCAGAGTCTTCTCTAGAGAATCATGCCTTCTCATTATATGGCCAAAATATTTGAGCTTTATCCTCATGATCATAGCTTCCAGTAAACAGTTTGTCTTGATTTCCTGTAATACGGAGGGATGGTAAGCTGTTTTCACCAACACCACAGTTCAAAGGCATCAATTCTACGATGCTCAGCCTTCTTTATAGTACAGCTCTCACATCCCTATGTTACTACTGGGAATACCATAGTTGACTATGCAGACCTTTGTTGATAGTGTCTTTAATTTTTACCAGCTTGACCAAGCTTGCTGTACCTCTCCTCCCCAGAAGCAAACGGCTTTTAATTTCATAACTACAGTCGCCATCTGAAGAGATCTTGGATCCCAGGAAAATAAAACCTGTCACTGACTCCACTTCTTCCCCATCTATGTGCCAGGAACAGAGATTGCTGTTTGCCATGATCTTAGTCTTTTTAACATTATGCAGCAAGCCAGCTTTTGCACTCTCTTCTTTTACCCTCATCAATAGGTCCTTTAGTTCTTCTTCACTTTCAGCCAGAGTAATATCATCCGCGTATCTGAGATTGTTGATATTTCTTCCAGCAATATTGATTCCGGCTTCAGATTCATTCAGCCCAGCCTGCATACACGTTGAATAAATAAGGTGACAATATACAACCTTGTCAAACCCCTTTCCCGATCTTAAAGCATTCTGTTGTCCCATATTCGGTTCTGACTGTGGCTTCTTAGTCCACATACAGATTCATCAGGAGGCCGATGAGATGATCTGGTACTCCCATCTCTTTAAGAACTTGCCACATGTTTTTGTGATCCACACAGTCAAAGGCTTTAGAATAGTCTATGAAGCAGAAGTATCGGTAGATGTTTTACTGGAACTCTCTGGCTTTCTCTATTATCCTCTGCGGAACCCAGTTTGTACATCTGGTAATTCCCGGTCAATATATTGTTTGAGTTGAACTTGTAGGATCTTAAGCATTACCTTGCTGGCATATGAAATTAGTGCAATTGTTTGATAATTAGAGCACTCTTCGGCATTGCCTTTTTTGGGGATTGGGATGTAGACTGACCTTTTCCAGTCTTGGCCACTGTTGAGTTTTCCAAATTTGTTGGCATAAGGCAAGCAGAAATTTCACAGCAGCATCTAGCAGAATGTTGAATAGTTCAATTGGGATTTCATCAACTCCTGCAGCCTTGTTATCTGCAAGGCATGCTAGGGCCCATCTCACTTCGCTCTTCAAGGTTTCTGGTTCCAGCTCATTGGACCAACTATTGAGGTCATCGCTGCTGTTAATCCTGCCATCAGTGTAATCCTGCCATCAGTGGTGTATCCTGGTTTTGTGCTGTCCTAGGCAGGACAAAACTCAGACACTCCCCTCCCCCCCGCGCCACCCCCACCCAACCCTGCCCCCCGCCCCACCTTCTAAATACACACACACAGTCAGACACAAACACACACACAGACACAGTCAGACACACACGCACGCACGCACGCACACACACACAGTCAGACAAAAACACGCACATTAACACTTTTTTTTATTTAACCCCCCCAGCCTCCTTACCTTTGGGAGTGCTGGGGGGTGAGGGGGTTCCTCTTTCTCCCTGGTGGTCCAGTGTCTGCCGGTCGGGCTGATGGGCTGGCTGCTGGGCGGGCGGCTGGCGAGGGAGCACTTCCTCTGAGCGGACTGCTCAGCTCCCTCGCGCACCGTAGAGTGAGGCTGGGAGCCGGAATATGACGTCATATCCCGGCTCCCAGCTTCACTCTGCGGCGCACGAGGGAGCTGAGCAGACCGCTCAGAGGAAGAGCTCCCTCGCCAGCCGCCCGCCCGACCATCAGCCAGCGCCACAGAGCATGTCTGTTAGTCGCAAGGCTAACTAGGCATTTGCCCTGGGTATTTGCCGCCCCCTGAAAAATGCCGCCCAAGGCAAATGCCTTGTTTGCCTCGCGGCTAATACGTCCCTGCCTGCCATCTCTTCTTTATCTGATCATCTTCTGTTAAGTCCCTGCCATTTTCGTCTTTTATCACACCCACTTTGGCATGAAAGGTAACTTTTAGATCCCCAATTTTCTTGAATAGATCTCTTGACTTTCCCATTCTGTTATCTTCTTCTATCCTTAACCCTGCTCATATTGACAGAGTCTAATTAGTGATTTAATTTTGGACACGCAGCTCCTAACACTAGTAATGTTACTCCAAGTTCAGTTGAACAGTAAGGAAAAGGTTAAATATGCTCCTTATGTAATATTTATTCCACAGGGTCAGAAACAAATCAACTTTTTCAAAGCTGGGTAAACCTAAGTGTTTCTGAATTGTACTTTGTTAACATGTTCATTTCTGAACTTGTCACCTCAGAGAGAGCACTCACAAAAAGTGTTCTAGTGGTAGGCGTCTGTCTGTATCCTGTCCATCAGTGCTGAGCGATTTGTGGATTAATTGTTCGGAAAGGGAGTGTGTGGGGAGAGAAGGCACAAATTGTCTGCAGATCTTTCCTACAGAGACATCTGTGCTGTTAACTTGAGTGGCAATGGCTGGAACCGTGACAGAGTGAGGTGCATAAATCTTTCAGAGAACATAATCTGATTAGGTTCTTTTTAAATACAAAATTGGGGGGTAAAAAAAAAAGAGTGAGAGATACATTAACATGGAAGCCCATCTGTCTGCTGCAGTCTGTCAGATCCTCCTCAGCAGATGTCCTCACCTCTTGTAGGAAGGAGGTAGAGACAGGAAAGAGTGTGTGTGTGAGAGAGAGAGAAAAAATAAAGAGGTTAGAGGGAGAGAATGAAGACAGGAGAAACAAACAGGGAGAGAGGAAGAGAGAGAGAGAAGAAAGGAGAGAGAGAATCTGAGAAGAATCCTCTATAACCAGAGAGGAAGAGGGTTTATTTAAATGAGTGATGGTTTTAGGGGATGCGAGTAGGTGTATGGGATGAGATGGGCTGTAGGGGATGGGATGAGAAGAGCTTGTAGCGGAGTGCTAGTCCTGTCAAGGACCTTTCCTCCGCTGGATCCGTGAAGACAGGAACAAGGCGCTGTGAAGTGAATAGCTCTATCCCTCCCCAGTAACGGGATGACACATAGTTCTGAGAGTACAACTGATGTATTCAGTACAAACTCAGCCTTTTATGCACAGACCCCCAGCATGGGGTATCCATTCAAAATATACACAAGCCCCAAGTAACTCAATAATCTCTGTTACAGGAAACATACATAAAACACCCCAAAAACATTCATAATTCACAGAAACCCCACAAGTTTTATTTCCCTAAATAGCCCGGATCAGAGCGCCCAAGTTGTCCAAATAGCACTCAGATCCCTTTGGTAGAACAGAATCACCATTCAGGTAAAGTCATGAGGTGATGTTCCAAAACAGTTCCAGAGAAATGGGGCCAAGGTCCGGTCAACTTTCGGAGGTTCCTGTGCGAACACCAACGAATGCTCCCCCTGGCTTTCAGAGAGCGAATGCTCCCCCAGTCGGTAGATCCGAACGTCGTTCTTTCAGTTGGTTGGGAAGTGGAACGGGCAGTGGTACTATCTTTGCTGGGGTTCGAAAAGAGTTCCCGACGACCAAGTACCGCTGCCTGTGTTCGAGAGACAAAATTGCT